TCCCTCTATGTCTCGAAAAAAACTATAAAAGCTAATTGTAGATTATCTCTCGTTTCTACGATCTTAATATCACTCGAAAAGAAACTCTTGTCTAATCCTATGATGAGAGCATTAAACAAGAGCGAAACACATCATTATGTGCTTGGCATATCCATGTCATACATCTGACGAAATTCTTTGTCAAATTTAGACGTATTGTCATAGCTTCACTTGATATTTCTTATCTTCATGTAAAATATTTTAATTCTCAACATATACTCACACACAAAAGTAGTTAGAAGAAATAGTAGTAGTGCTAAGTAGAAGTTAGGAATAATGAATCAATGAAAAAAAAAGCTTAAACCAGCAGTGGCAATATTAACAGGTCTGTAAAAAAATGTTTAAATTGTCAGCACCTTCATTGGCGACGACGAAATCCAATTTTCCATCGTTGTCTAAATCATCAACAGAAACCGAGAACGGAAGAGATCCATAACCGGGCGAAAAAAGCTTGACACTTGTGAAGGAGCCATTCCCATAACTAAGCAACACACCTATGTTGTTTGTGCCATAATTAGCGACAATAATGTCTAGCAAGGTGTCATTGTTGAAATCTTCAACAGCAACCGCGTTTGGTTGAGAGCTTAAACCAGTTGTAAACGTTTTCTGGCTTGAAAACGAACCATTGCCCCATCCAAGAAATATACCAACATTGTCACTGCCATGATTCACGACAACAATATCAAGTAGGGTATCGTTGTTGAAATCACCAACGGCTACTGACCACGGAGAGGAATCAGTTGCATATGCCATTTGATTTCTGAAAAAACCATTGTCGTATCTCAGAAAAACGCCAATGTTGTTATTGCCTGAATTCGCCACTGCTATATCCATTTGACTGTCATTATTAAAATCTCCAATGGCGAATGACTTAGGGCGAGATCCATTCCCAGTTATGAGTCTCATCTGCTTAAAAAACCCTTCATTAGGATATCCCTGATGTATACTGACACTTTGCCCATTAACATTAGAGACGACGACATCTAGTCGGGTGTCATTATTAAAATCGCCAATAGCTACAGATGAAGGACTAGTGCCCGTTGAATAGATCATTTGATTTGTAAAAACACCATTGCCATATCCAAGAAGGATACTCATAGTGTTGTCATTCCAATTAGTGACAACGATATCCAATAGGGTGTCATTATTAAAATCATCAATAGCTACAGAACTTGGTCCAGAGCCAGTTGAATATGTCGTTTGATTCGTGAAAGAACCATTGCGATATCCGATAAGTACACTTATAGTGTTGTCATCATAATTAGTGACGACGATATCCAGATGGGTATCGTTGTTAAAATCACCAACAGTTACAGAACCTGGACTAGAGCCAGTTGGATATGTCGTTTGATTTGCAAAAGAGCCATCGCCGTATCCGAGAAGGATGCTTACAGTGTTGTCACCCCAATTAGTGACGACGATATCCAGATTGGTGTCGTTGTTAAAATCACCAACAGCCACAGAGTATGGTTTAGAACCAGTTGAATATGTCGTCTGATTTGCAAACGAGCCATCGGCATATCCAAGAAGGATGCTTACAGTGTTGTCACCCGAATTAGCGACGACGATATCCAGATTGGTGTCGTTGTTAAAATCACCAAGAGCTACAGCAATTGGGTCAGAGCCAGTTGAATATATCGTTTGATTTTCAAAGAAGCCATCACCGTATCCGAGAAGGACACCTACAGTATTGTTCTTAGAATTAGCGACCACGATATCCATATGGGTATCGTTATTGAAATCACCAACAGCTACAGAGAATGGGTTAGAACCAGTTGAGTATGTCGTTTGATTAGTGAAAGAACCATTCCCATATCCGAGAAGTAAGCCAACAGTGTTGTCTCCTCGATTAGCGACGACCATATCAAGCGTGTTGTCGTTATTAAAATCGCCAAGAGCTACAGATCGGGGCCAGACGCCAGTTGAATATTTAATGTCATGATTGAAAGATCCGATGTCGTATGTAACCAGCACATCTATATAATCGATGTCATCATATGCAACGAAAATTTCTGAACGCCCATCTTTGTTGAAACTACCAGCACCAATCATCAGTGGAGCAAAATCAAAATTTATACCGTAACGTCCTTGATTTTCAAATGTTCCATTTCCACTTCCAAGAAACGTAACAAGACTTTTAGTACCATAATTGGCCACGGCTATATCTGCTTGACCGTCTCTATTGAAATCATGGATAGTGATGGAGTAAGGATGAGAATTTAAGCCTGTTGAGAGCACCATTTGATTTCCAAAAGTGCCATTCCCATAACCAAGAAAGACACCTATGTTATTAGTACCATAATTGACAACAGCGATATCTAATAGGCTATCGTTATTGAAATCAAAAAGGGCAACGTTTCGCAAATGAGAACCATCGGTAGGCGCAAATATGATTTTGTCTTTCAGAGCTCCTCTGTCATACCGAAGTAGTACACTTACAGTGTTGTCATTAAAATTAGCGACGACAAGATCCGGTCGAGTGTCGTTGTTGAAGTCACCAACAGCTACAGCAATTGGGTCAGAGCCAGTTGAATATGTCGTTTGATTTTCAAAAGAGCCATTGCCATATCCGAGAAGGATGCTTACAGTATTGCCACCAAAATTAGCAACGACGATATCCAGATGGGTGTCGTTGTTAAAATCACCAACAGCTACAGACAATGGTCTAGAGCCAGTTGAATATGTCGTTTGATTTGCAGAAGAGCCATCTCGATATCCAGGAAGGACGCTTACAGTGTTGTCATCCCGATTAACAACGACGATGTCCAGTTGGTTGTCATTATTAAAATCACTAACAGCTAGAGCTACTGGGCTAGAGCCAGTTGAATATGTCGTTTGATTTGCAAAAGAGCCATTGCTATATCTTAGAAGTACACTCACAGTGTTGCCACCAAAATTAGCGATGACGATATCCAGCTGGGTGTCATTATTAAAATCACCAACAGCTACAAAGACTGGGTCAGAGCCAGTAGAGTATGTCGTTTGATTTGCAAAAGAACCATCGCCATATCCGAGAAGTACACTGACAGTATTGCCATCAGCATTAGCGACGACGATATCCAGATAAGTGTTGTTGTTAAAGTCACCAACAGCTACAGCTTGTGGCGTAGAGCCAGTTGAATATGTCGTTTGACTCGCAAACGAGCCATTTCCATATCCTAGAAAGACACTTACATTGTTGCTACCAAAATTAGCGATGACGATATCCAGATTGCTGTCATTATTAAAATCACCAACAGCTATAGAGACTGGCCAAGAGCCAGTTGAATATGTTGTTTGATTTGCAAAGAAGCCATCACCATATCCGAGAAGTACACCTATAGTGTTGCTATCCCTATTAGCAACTACAATATCTAGTCGGGTGTCGTGGTTAAAATCACCAACGGCTACAGAGCATGGAGAAGTGCCAGTTGAATATGTCGTTTGAATAGGAAAAAATTCGTCATAGCCAAGCATGATACCTATAGTGCTTGTATCATTGTTGATGAAGGCAATGTCTAAACGATTATCTTTGTTTAAATCACCTATGGCAATGGAGATTGATGAAGAAGATCTAGTTGAATACATTTTTGCGCTTGCAAAAATACCGTTGCCATATCCGACAAGTAGAGCTATATTGTCAGTGCCATTATTGGTTACAACTAAATCCATTCGATTGTCATTGTTGAAGTCACCAATCCCAATAGCATATGGAGAAGCAACACCGAGGGAATACGTCACCTGGCTCATAAAAGTTCCGTTACCGTGACCCAGAAGTATACCTACACTGTTATTTCCATGGTTAGTGACAGCAATATCTAGCATGTCATCTTCGTTTAAATGACCAGCGACAAGCGAGTATGGATGGGAATTAAGACCAGTTAAGAGCGTGCTTTGTCTTGTGAAAGTGCCGTTACTAACCCCAAGCATGATACCGACATTATTGGTACCATAATTGGCGATAGCAAGATCCATCTGCTTGTCGTTGTTGAAATCGCCACTGGCAATCGCTAACGGGAAAGCATCATAGCCTGTATAGAATGTGCTTGACCCTGAAAAACTTGCATTCCCATATCCATAAAATACAGTCACACTGTGTGTGCCGTAGTTAGCAGTGACAATATCTAATATTGCATCATTATTAATATCTGCTATATGGATCCAAACGGGCCGAGATGATGCAATAGATAGAGTTGTTTTGTTCGCAAAAGATCCATTTTGAAATCTAAGAAATACACCGACGCTATTATTACCGAAATTTGCGACGGCGATATCGAGTCGCTGATCGTTGTCGAAATCACCAACAGCAATCATGTACGGAGCAGAGCCATAACCAGTTGAAAACATGAATGGACTTGCCACAGTACCGTTGCCATGTCCAAAATATATGGCTATATTGTCAGCAGCATAATTGGCAACAACAATGTCTAGCGAGGTATCGTTGTTGAAGTCTCCCATGGCAACTGCTCGCGGACCATACTTATAGTTAATTGGATTGTGGGCAGTTGCTTTAAAATTAAATTGACATTTTGGAACTAAGTAACGCAAGAACAAAGAAATAAAGACTGATCAGTTACTATGATTCAGCTATTCCTAATGGATCGTATCAGACTTCGATAATCCTGATGATTTGCTATTTAGAATAGTCAGATCATTACAAACAAATCTGAGTGAGAACCAGCACTTTTCAATATAACCTAGTTTTGTCTCGTGAAACTCATAGTGACTGAGGAAGAACAAAGACAGTAGCTAACATGATGACAAAAAGAACTATGAACTTTCCCTAACTAAGAGTTCAAAACTCCATTCGTTTCTCTCTTACTGATTCTTCAAGGACATGCCATTAGCTACAATTAGAATATAATGATGAAAATTTCGGACCGTTTCGAAATCAAATGAATATCAGTATGTCTGTGTTGCAAAATTCTTGTCATCGCGTCATGAATATCACGCATTGTTAATGAACAACAACAATAAGAATATAATAAGTTGTTTGACGAGTATTTGAGATTACGCAATGAATAGAACACTGACAGTTTATTAACAGTTATCACCTGATGAGTTGAGTGATGATTAATTTCTACAGTTGAACACCGTGATCGTACTCCAATGTTGTAATATGACCTGTATAGCTATATGATGGTTTTGGGTAATTGATAAGAGCTTTTTATTTTGTTAGAGGGCTGAAACGGCGAATTAATATTACGGACAGGTTATCTTATTGGGTAATGGAACATGTGTCAGTTTAATTTTTTGCTTCAAAGAAACTTATTTTACGAAAATAACCATGTGTTTGAAGTGTGATAAAATGGTTATGAGATTGAGGAATCCGAACCCATTTATGATTTCTCAAAATTTGTAGTGTCATTTTGTTGGAGATGTAGTCCTTCCAGAGAGAAAACCTCAAGGCTACACATTTCGAAAGGTCACGAATAAAGAAGGAGGACGCATAACAAGACAAATCACCTATTTGGGAAACGATTCAATGACTTCTGATGCATATTGCTGTACCATATTTTTACTGAAGTAAGATGGCTGTACACTAACAGTAACTTTGTGAAAACATTTGTTTTCTTGCCTATAAATAGTCTCATTTGAAAGACGAGTAAATTATCTACAAACTCTCAGATGAAAAACTAAAGTTATGTCGAGATAATAGTGTTTCTATCGATATTTCGGGTATATCAGGAAGGTTCTGACTTCTTAATTGCTTTGGAGACAGCTTTACGATGGACTGTCCTCTTCAAAGTGTGATGCAGTTTTTGACGGACTACACCTTGGTAAAGTTTTCTTGTGGATATCATAATTGTACAGATGAGATACCTCCACTAATGATCGTAGATCGATTCCAGAAAACCACATAACCGGCTTCTGTTGTGTTAATATGAATACCATATGTTCTTCTGAAATTACAACACATATGGTTGCAGTTTTAGGCACGAACAAACCTCAAAAAGCTACAGCTAATAAAATAACTAGAAGAAATCTACACCAACGGTTAGTCCGTCAAAAATTGCATCAAATCCTATAGAAACACTATTAGTTCACCGTATATTCAGCTTATAGTTATCTTATTGTTGGATATAGCCGTTTGGGTGCAGTGACAATATGGTATATTCATCTGGATTAGGAACCATTGATTGGCTTTCTAAATAGATTAAATGTGGTGTTCAATAATTTGCTGTCTCATTCTGCATCGAAATAACGGATGAGGCAGATTAGATGGCTACATTTTGCATTTCAATTTTTACTCACTTAATACGTTGTATTAAAAAGAAAAAATATACCACAAGATGCAACGTGAAAAACTCTACAATTTATACGGACCAGCTTTTTTAACCGCTGTACTTTTTTCTTTCAAAATGCACAGAATTTCGAGAGACCTAATTTCGACCATGCGAAAACGAGATTTTCTTTGTACAAGATGAATTCGTTTTTTCTTATTTCATCTTTTTATCACCTGATAGTTTTTAGTTGAAAAAACAAAATATACTACTAGATGCACCGTGAAAAGCTACACAATTTACACAGTACAGCTTATTGTGTTTGTTTTCGAAAGCAACAAAATTTTGTGCGACATTTTTTCTCACGGTCGAAATTCGATCGCTCAAAATCTTGTTCATTTTCAAAGCACATGTAACCTGATATTAAGTAATTGAAAATTGAAATGCAAAGTGTAGCCATTTAATCTGCCTCAGCCGTTACAGACTTGTTTCGAAAATTCTGATGTAGGCAAATTCGTTTTCTTATGTGTCCTTTCTCTGGATTTCATGCTTTTGGAACATTTTGGATCAAAGTTCATAAAAGAGGCTTTGTTTGAGACAAAAATCAAACTGACCAATATGCCCTCACTAGCAAGTAGTACTTACCACTTACTGGTAACCTTAGTAATATGAAAGTGATACTCATAAATACCTGTTCTTTGAGCTTAAAGTTTTCTCGTCGGTAAAATTCATAGGATAGAAAAAAATCCAAAAGAATTCGTACTATTAGCTATATCTCAATAAAGGAAGATTTTCACGAGCTAACTTCTTACAAACTCATTTTCCACCTTGCTGCTTATCGTATAAAAAAAGACGATCTTTACCTAACGTTTTTCTTAACAAGGAAATTACAATGATACGAAGAATGAGAATAAAAAAAAGTCAAGGAAAGGATTGATCAGTCTAATGATGATTATAATTTGAAAAAAGAGTGAATCACGTTCTTGTTGCACCAAGAAAAATGAAACATTGGCCCATCAATACAACTCTTTTCATGCATCTGTCTGTTTCAAATTTGAAGCAAGTATCTTTAACATTCTAAAATGCCCCAGGATCAATTTTCAAAAAAGATTTTTCAGCCAGGCGCACTTTATCATAGGTGGAAAAGGCAGAATTTAGGTATAGGTGTGCGAGTTTATAGAAGAGAAACATTCACTTAAATAGCGGTATATGAATGCTAATGTGAATGGATTTTCGGAGTCTTGCTCTTCCTATTCATTATATCATCTAATATGGTTTCCGTTTCAAATATTTGAGGTATGCTTTCCATAGAGACTAAATACAATGTGTTCTTTGTCAGGCCTGATTGAAGATAGTGCATTACAGAACAATTTGTGTGATGTTAGGTTTAATAATTATAACACATTTTTATTATCGTGATATGTGAACTATGTTAAAATAGAAATGTGCTTACTATTTGTCCACTTTGTGAAAACGATCAACTACTGATCAGTTATTAGTCAGATAAAACTATTATTTTATGACATGTATACAAAGTTTTACAGCTTCAAAGAACTGTAACAGAAATAAACCCCCGGACACATTAGAAGACCCCCCCACCCCTGTAGTAGAGATGACCCTCCCTTGAATCAACGAAGCGAAGGATAGATGAGAAGACCCACCCATCTCCTCTGACGATCCCCTTAGAAGCAGGTGAGCAGGTCCTCTAATCTATCCTTTGGGTTGTTGATTCAAGAGAGGGTCATCTCGACTATAGGGGTGGGGGTCTTCTAATGTGTCCGGGGGTTTAAATCACTAGAAAATATGTGAGAACATGCATGAATCAAAAAGAAAGATTGAAAAAGAAAACGAATGTACTTGAACATACTAGAAAAGAAGATATATACGTATTCAAACTTGATATCAGAACGAAAAAAGATAGAGATGGAATATGCATACTACTTACATTCCTTTACCGGTAGCATTAAGTGAGAAAATGTAGAGTTATGTACCGTTGAGAAGACATATTTATTTTCGTAATGTTCTATGAGAATTGAGTTGTATTTTCTCTTATTCTTTCGTATTTCTATTATATCCAAGAATATATCGATGAGATAGAGAAAAAGAAATCAAGGATAAGCTGTTGTTTTCATTTAGTGACGTGAATGAGTACCACCAAAAACAATAGAAGAAGTGATTCTAGAAAATTGAATAAGATAAAGTTGATGTTTCAGTAATAAGTAACAATGCGTAACAACAATTTGTAGAAACCAGCTCGTGAAATTGTTGTTTTAATGACATATGAAAAAACTAAGCGAAAACGCGATAATCTTCGTCTTAAAGAAACTTACTATCTGCGTTCCTCTAGAACAAAGCGGCAATGTGATGATGCTTTCTGGAATCGTTTCCTAATCTATAATTTCTTCCAATAAGTGAAATAGGAAGGCTCGAGTTAGAGACAAAGTATCAAATCTACTGATGATGATCACCTTAGTTGATTAGCGTTCGTCAAAGCATATTTGAAATGGACAAGTGAAGCAGTCATAATGCTTATAATTCTGTTCTCGCCAGATGGTTTGAGTGTTTTTAACCCAGAGTCACAATACAAATGAAACAGAATCGAATAAACTGTGAACTTTTATCGTATTGAATACGAAGAATACAAAGCTACAAGTACGTACCTGGTGATTTTGGTGAAGTATAGCAAACTACCAGTATACCTATGATCGTAAGTATACTTGTAATCATAGGCAATACAAAGGTAGGCTTGGG